TTTGCATTTTAAAAGAATAAGGATGAAAAATCATAAGAAAGCCTAAAGGTGAGATTTCATACCTTTTGCCTTGTAAAAAGCCTTCTACTGGCATCACTCCAGGGAGAAATTGGCACCCAGAGTGCCCCCTAAAATTAACTAGAATTTCAGAAGCTAGGACTCAGATTTCTTCCCATTTCCCACTCCCACCTAGAACTCCCATAAGAAAAAAAGTTAGTCCATCTCCAGACAACCACTCATTGGACCCTAGCCTAGTCTAGGGCACTTAGCTCTGTATGTGGCACAACTAGGGTGTTCCAGGCCACTGGCAGGTTGATACCAGTAGCTTCCTTCAGTCTCCACGCTTCAGGCTTAGGAGAGAAGAGGGTGAAGCAATGTACTGTTTCTTGGGTCACCCTGCCAGCAGCCCTCGTGACCCTCTGGACACTTGCCTGCCTCAAACCTCTGGCCACTAAACCATCTGCAGTCCTATTAGGTGATGGCTTAGCCCTCGTAAGTGTGGCCCAGTGGGAAAAAAGAGGAGAAGAAAAGGGGAAAGGTGGAGTACACCCAATGAAGTCCCTGCCCACCATCCTAGTGATAGGGCTTCAGCGTCCTTCCTGCTTCCCATTGTCCTTCATGACCAGTAACATACCCTTCCCCTGTAGATACAACCAAGGCCCGGTGATTCCTGAAGACAGAGGCATGTATCACTTGGGCAAGAACACCCACATGCAGCATGCACAGCCACCGTGAACAAGTGTCATTGACCAATGCCAAGAATGGGAGTCTGGAGGCAGAGGACCCTGTCTGCAGGCCTGGCTCCTCCTCCACTAGCCAGGGCCATTGGGCGGGTTACTTAACCCAAGTCTCCGTGCTCTCATCTGCAAAATGAGTTGTCATGAGGGATATACAGGGTTGGCATGGGACTCCCTGGAGATAATGAACATGAAGCATTTGTAAGAGGTGAAGCATGATACAAATATTTCCTAAGCTACACATTCACTAGTTCAACACATACCCAGGACTTACCATCCCCTGCCGCAGACTCCCGAAAGCCGACAGACATCTTGCTTAGTGCTTTGAAGACCCCCTCATGGCCCATGGTACCAGGTGGCAGACCCCCACACATTTACACACCGCATACTGTACAAATATAGGTTTTATTAATAACGGGTGAAATCCCACAAATACAACTGGCATCTCTGTGTGATGGGAAGAACCTGTGGCAGCGTGAGGGCAGGTACAGAGGGATGTGTATAGGAAGGAGGGGGGAAAAGAGCCCTGGGGGAGAGGAAATCAGAAGCAGAATGAGCCTGGAGCCACCAGGAAAGCCACACATGCTCTGGGTGTGTCTGCCACCTGGTGCCCAGGGCATGCTGCTCTGATGCCCAGGGGCCACCTGCTGATGGGAAGGGGAGGAAGGACGTGGACAGGAGTTTGAATGAGCAGCAAGCTGCTGGGGAAGTGGTAGGGGAGCGAGAATGCCAGTGTGGAGCACGAAAGGAGGGCTGTGGGGTGGCGGTGGCCAAGGCCAGCTTATGCCCGTGCTTGTGCTTGTGTCGGGTCCTGAACTCCAGGGAGCTAGTGCCCTGTGCCACCCCTGGCTTGGGAGGGAGGGAAGACTGACGGGTAGACACCTGCAGATCCTGGAGACATCCTGGGCAGCGCCAGCCTCATCCTTAGAGTCTCCAAAGTGGGATTCCCCAGGAGGAGGTTGGCACTGCCCTCCCCACAGCACCCCCCACACTACCACCACGACACCGTCTCTCTTCCTCTACACTGTAGGAGATGGCGAGTGTGAAGGGCTGAGATTGCCTGTTCGCATGTATGTGCCTGTCACTCCAGAGAAGGAGGGAGCATCATGGGACCGAGCATCAGGAGCAGCGAGAAAGGAGTGTTGGGTCTTCCCTCACTCACCCCCCAGAATAAAGTGCATTTTCCAGGTCCAGCGGCAGGTGGGAGAGGAACACAGACATTATTGCAGAGGTGCCACCAGGCCCTACCCCCCACCAAAGGTGATGGGGAGGTGGGAGGGGGCATCCCAAAGCTCCAAGCCTCTCTAATCCCCAGGATTGAGAGTGGTGACCTAGACAGAAAACCCAGCTTCTGTCCCAGCAGATTGTCCAAATCAGCCAGGGTCAGGGGGTCGGGAGAAGGAGAGGAGGAGTAAGAGACTTCCAGAGTCCTTCCCTGCTCCACTCCTGTGTCCATAATGGGACTTACGGGGGACCCCACCAGGGCCCAGCCCTGGAACTCCAACCCTATAGCAGCCTGGTTTACAAACACTTGTGTGGTGGGGACCCCCAGAGGGGGCCACTTTGGTCAGTTGTAAGTGGGATCCTGGAGAGCCGGGGGCTCCCAGGCAGACAACAGAGGAGGATGCCGTGGGCAAGGAGGGTGGCAGCCTCCCAGTGGTCTTTGCATGCAGGTGTTGGAGAGAGTAGGGAGGAAGCTACAAATAGCATCAATTTGGGAAGACTCCTAGACATAGTGAGGAGGGCTGGTGCCCCCCCTCCCAGGGCCCAGGCTGGAAGCACAGTCCATCAGCCAGCCTGTGGAGGACCAAGGGAGAGGAGGGCAGCTACACCAGCAACCAGTGCCCAAGTCTACAAGGTTAAAACAGTCCCAAAGGGCTGGGGGTGGGGGCTTCCTGCTGCGGGGGCTGGGGCGCAGGCCGGGGGCAAGGTCTATCTCTCTGACTTGACCCGGTAACGGAGCACAAGGTATACCAGCAGCCGCAGGGCCAGGAAGAAGATGCCCAAGACCAGGAAGTCCATGTAGAGCTTGGCATCCTCCACATCCAGCGCTCGGAGGATGCTCTGTGGCTCCCGGAACGGGCAGCGTTCCTCTAAGCATGTCAGGTCTCCCCGCTCCATGCCATAGATCGTCAGGATCACACCCTCAAAGCCATACCTAGGCAGGCACAGACATCAGAACAGGATCCAGAGCACAGTATCCCCGCTCCCTGGGTAAATCGCCAGAGCCTAGCTGCAATGCTGTTACTCCTGGGGGCCTGCCAGCGTGCCCCTACCCAAAGAATAATATGGCAGGCACCAGACTTGGCATAACCCAGGAAGACCCGGGCACAGTTCTCCTGCAGGCAGGAGCAGGGACAAATGGAGAGGGAGGGGCACTGACCTGACATAGGAGAGGTAGGAGCTCCATTGCAGGTAAGTGGGGATGGTCTTGAAGCTGACAAAGAAGCCAGAGAACAAGAGGACAGGGATGGCGGTAACGGGGCCCACAAAGGTGGCCACCTAGAGGAGAAGGGAAGGGGCCGGGCCATCATAGGGGTGACCAGGACAGATCCAGGACTTGGGTGGCCCCAGGGCTTCCCAGTAGGTCCATCCCACCCTTTATGCTAGCACCTGTTTCCTCCCACAAGACCTCAGCCCCCACCCCTTGTGAATCCCCACATGCCAGCCCTCCCACCTGCAGGGAGTTGGAGGCAGCTCCAATCAGCAGTCCCAGAGATTGGGCCACCAAGGCGGTGGCGGTGGCCAGGGCTGAGAAGAGCAGGAAGCGGCTGGTCTCAGCTGGCTGGCCTGTCATCCAGTACACGATGCTGCAGTATACCACTGGGCACACCACCTGGGGAGCGACCACAGCCGGGCAGTGGACTTCACACCAGGGCACAGTGGCCGAGACCCTCTGCTGCACCCGGGCATGAGCCTCTAGAATACCTATTCCCAGAGTGCCCGTGCCTGTCCTGACTGCAAACTCTTGCTCATGCTGTCCCCCAGATTGACACATGTCCCCTGACTATATGAACCTCACTCATCTTCCTGTCCCACCTCTTCCATTGGGCCCACTCTGACCAATTCAGGCACGGTGACTTCTCCTTCCTTTGAACTCCTAAAGTCCTTCCCATCTGGACAAGCTTATTCCTTATAGTGTTAATTAATTAACTCTCCATAGGAGAGTGTTTTGTTCCCCCTATGAGAGTATCAACTCCTGGGGGTCAGGGACTGAGCCCACTATGTACTGTTGTTCCCCGCACAAGGGTGTCCAATCAAGAGACAGCCAGAGGCCAAGATCCAGCCTGAGCTCTTTTCACTAAGCCAAGCATGGTCACAGGGCAGCCTCCACCCTGACGAAAGGCACCTTTTTCTGATTTGCATAAAGGAGCCCTATGGATTACTGGTGGCCCTGGTGCTTGGAACAGGATGGTGGTGGCAGTAACAACAAAAACCAGCTAACATTTATTTGGCATTAGTATGTGCCAAGCACTATTCTAAGTACTTTATGTGTATTAACTCATATAATTCTCACAAACAATCCTGAGGTAGATACTAATGTCATTCTATTTTATAGATGGTGACACTGAAGCAAAGAGATTAGGTGACTTGCCCAACATCTTGCAGCTAGCAAGTAGCAGTTAGGCTCCAGAGCCTACACTGTTCTCTACTGCCTCTGATAAGATTTACAGAGTCATTTGTAGGGTTATTACTTTCATCATTTTCTGTTTGTTCCCATGAAAACATAAGTCCCACAAGGTCAGTCTAGTTCTCTGCTACATCCCCAGGGCCTGGTTCAGAGCCTGGTGGGTGGTGAGTACTCACCACCTATTTCCTAAGTGGGTAGAAGGAAAAGAATGGGAGGAAAGTGACAAGGTTGAGGGAGGCAGGCAAGCAAGGAGGGAGGGAGCAAGGCAAGGTGGCGGCAGTGGGCAGGCAGGAGGAAGAGGCTCACCTGGAAGGGCACATCAGCCATGGTCTTGGCCAGGTAATACGCTTTGAGGCTGTACCAGTAGTTGAGGTGCTCCCTCATGAAGACTGCCATCTCTAAGGGGACTGAGGACACAGGCTGATTAGGTGCAGCTGGGAGCCACCCTGGCGCCTGCCCCATGCTCCAGCACCCACGCCCACACCCACGCCCCATGCCCAGGGCAGCTCAGCTCACAGGTGAGCACAGTTGGCATAAGGGCAGCGAACATGAGGAACAGCATGGAGAAGAAGAGGCAGCCGGTGTTGTTGAAAACCTTGCTGGCATCATCGCCGATGTGCAGGTAGAGGAGACCGATGAGCACACCGATCAACACGTGGGACATGAACCGCAGGTGAGTTAAGACCTGTGGGAGGGGGCATCGCCAGGAGAGGGTATGTGTCACAGGCCAGGGATGGGTAGGCCACACTGGGGTAGGAACTGAGAGCTGCCCTCCCTGGCACATAGATGCATTGTGGTGGGGAGCTGTGGAGGAAGGGGCCCCATTGCCACCCCAGCTGCTGAGATCCTACAGTCCACAAGACCAGGCCCGTGCCAGCCTCCTCTGCCCCAACTTGGCACCTCACCGTGTCCCTGAGGATGGACAAGAAGGTTCTCTTGAAGAGGATGCAGAACTGTGTGAGGGTGCTGGTGGCGAAGGTGTGGCTTTCAATGGGATCCACTTCCTGGGCAGAAGAAATGATCAGGTGAGCCCATCCCACCACCCACACAGCCCACCCAGCTCAGTGAATGAGAAAACCGCTGAGCCCTTCCCCAGGGCAGGGGTCCTCCAGCTCTGTAGGAGAATCCTCCGTCATGGAGTCGTGTACCTGGAAGCTGAGCTTAGGAGTGTGAATCAGAGCAAGATTCAGAGAGAGACGCAAGGAGCAGGCAAAAAACTCGGGAGGGAGGAGACGGAAAAGGAAGTCATGGACACCCGTGGTGGCCAATAGTAGATCAGTCACTTCTTTACTCCTTTGGCAGACATTAACCCTAAGGGTATAATTCCTTTATACCACCCATTTCACAATAATATTATTTAATAATGATTATAATGACAACAATAACAAATCTTTCTGATCTTCAAGGGTCATAGTGTCTCATTTAAGGGGGAGAACTGGCACTGGGCAAACACCTGCTGTACCAGCCACAGTGCTAAGAGCTTTACGTGATTATCTAATTAGTCCCCCCAGTAACCCTGTGAAGTAGTGTCATCATCTCCAAGTCAGAGATGACAGTAAGCCACACCGGCCACTAGGCCAGGGACAATGTTGGTCTTGCTTACCAGATGGGCACCATGCCAGCACTGAGGACAACATACTATAGATGCGCAACAAGAATTTGCCGAATGAATAAGCAAGTGAGGAAACTGAAGTTCAAAGAGGTTAAGTAACGTGCCTAAAGTCACACAGCTGTTAGTAGAAGGTGATCCCAAGTAGTACCCAACAACTGCGATGCCTCCGGGGAACAGCCTCTTTGGCAAGGCAGTCATTGTCCATGGTTTGGTCTCCCTTCCCCCACTCTGCCTTTTCTGCCCTCTTCACCCCTACTCACCGGAGGGCAAGGGGGGCAGGGGGCAGGGACCTCATTCTTCTCAGGGCTGCTCTTCTTCTCAGCCATGGCGCACAGCCCATTCTGCACAGCCCTAAACAGCATGGGGTTCAGGTCTCCATACTCGCCAGAGGCCACCTCGATGACTGGGGGACACAGAGCAGAGTGCTCAGCTAAGATTCACCCTTACTTCCCAAGGACACGTCAGCCCCTCCTTGGGTATGTGACAAAGGCAGGTGACAGTGAGATCTCTGCCTGCAGGAGGCCTGAGTGCAGGACCTGAGCTCCGGGTTTGGCCACCACTGCATCCCAGCCCCTGCTACAGCCCCCACTCACTGAAGTCAGCTGGGTTGTGGTAGGTGGGGCAGTGCAAGCCAAGCCCCTTCAGATAGGGGATCAGGTTGGTGACCACGCCTTTGAAGATGCACTGACCCTGGCTCAGGATGTAGAGCTGCAGCAGAAAGAGAAGGGTGAGGGAGACACACCCAATAGGCCAGGCAGGGACCCACCAGCACCTCTACCAACCCCCTCCCACCCCTGCGTCTCAGGCCAATCTTCTTTGAGGTCTGGAGGCACTCACCTTGTCAAACATCTCAAAGAGCTTGGCACTGGGCTGGTGGATGGTGCAGATGATGGTACGGCCCCCCTGTGCCAGGGACTTCATGAGGGACACCACTTGGAAACAAGAGGCGCTGTCCAGACCGCTGTCCAGAGAGAGGCCACCAGGGGGCCCAGTGAGATGGGTGGAGCCAACAGAAGGGAGTGTCTGGGGTGGGGCAGTTGCCGTGAAGGGGAAGGAGCCGGCATGAAGAGGTCACTCTGGCCACCCCCCTTCCCCATCCTGCAGTATCCTGTATGGTTCAGGCACTTAGGGGTACCCAGAAGCCCAGAGCACTGTTCAGTTTTAAAAACATATTCATATATTTATTTATATATTTTGAGATAGGGTCTCACTCTGTCACCCAGGCTAGAGTGCAGTGGCACAATCATAGCTCACTGTAACCTCAAATTCCTGGGCTCAAGCAAACCTCTGGCCTTAGCCTCTTGAGTAGCTGTGACTATAGGCATGTGCCACCACACCCAGCTAATTTTTCTTATTTTTTTGTAGAGATGGGGTCTCCCTAGGTTGCCCAGGCTGGTCTCAAACTCCTGGTCTCAAGTGATCCACCTCAGCCTCCCAAAATGCTAGGATTGCAGGCATGAACCATTGCACCTGGCCTAACAAGCATATATTAAGCACCTGTTTTATGCCAGGCACTGGGATTAAAATGATGCATAAATAAGACACAGACTCTCGTCCGGAGGCATAGACAAGTGCGCAGATGGTTTTAGGTAACGTGGAAAGTGCTATAGCTACATGGGTGAGAGGGGAAGGATTCAGCTCCGCTGTAGCAGGGTGCTGGAGGGTCGTCAGAGGGGGTTTCTGAGTGAGCCTAGAAGGAGTAGGAGCTAAGCTAGGTGAATGTGGAAGAGGAGGCATGGAGGTGAAGGGCATTCCAGCAGAAGACACAGCATGGGCAAAGCTTAGAGGCACGGAACATGTGGCTTGACCAAGGAATTACAAGTAACTCAGTATTATTAGAGCATAAAATACAAGACAGGAGGCTGGCGAAGTAGGTTCAGACCAGGACCTTGTAAGTCACCTGACTTTATTCTGAGGACAAATGAGAATCATTGCATGTTTTTAAGAAAGGGAATGGGTACAGCCACACTTGTCTTTTCGAAAATTCACCCTGGCTGCTGTTGGGAAGAAGGATTGGCTGGGAGACACTGGAGACGAGGAGATCAAGTCTGTTGATGATGTCCTGAACTTAAGCACTGGCACTAGCGATGGGATAGGGAGAATCTGAGAGACATCAAAAGGGGGTAGAATCAACAGGGCTTGGTGGCTGGTGGCTGTGGGGGACAGGAGAGGGAGCATGAATCAAGGAGGACATGCAGGTCTCTGCCTGGGGGAAGGATGGGGCTTGGCAAGGATGCAGATGAGAAGTAAGCCCTTATCGCGGCCCCAGGAGGCTGCACACAGAGGCTCTGGTTCCCAGTCATGGAGAAGATGCAGCCTCCAGCCCTGGCTCAGGGCCGAGGGGAGAGAGGGGCGTCTCCCAGTGGGAGAGGAGGGGGAGAGCTACCTGGTTGGCTCATCAAAGAACATGACAGGTGGGTTGTTGACCAGCTCCAGGGCGATGGCCAGGCGCTTCCTCTGCCCACCGGAGAGCAGGGCTGTCCTCGTGTGGGAGCAGGACATCAGGCCCAGCGCCGTCAGGATCTCTGTCACCTGGCCCCACCCCCACCCACCCCAGGTCAGCTTCAGAGTCTCTACTCTCCGCAGGCACCACCCCAACTTCAAAAAGCATCTCCCTCAAGTCCCTTGTCCCTGGCTTGGCCGCCACTCTCCCACCCCTAGCTCAGGGCCCCAGAACTCAATAGCTGTCCAGTGTCTCCCCTTCCACACTCACCAGCTCCTTCTTCACCTCTTGCTTCTCACTCAGCTTCAGGTTAGCAGAGACCTGGGGCCCAGAGAGTAGGCAAGAAGGGTATGTATGAGGGGGGCACTACCTTGACCCCTAGCCAATGGGGAGGGTGGGGACAGCAGACAGCAGGGGGCTGCTGGGAGGAGGGGATGGCCATCCAGCCCTCACCATCATGGCTTCCAACACTGTGAGGTGTGGCAGCAGCATGTCATCCTGCATGATGTAGCAGGACATCTTGCGGAAAGTCCTCAGCTCCCGCGGCCGCCCGTTGACCAGGATCTGCCCCTTCATTCCAGACTCTCTACGGGGACGTTGGTTGGGGATGGGGTTCAAAGCGACTTCCAAAACTCCCATGCTGCCCCAGGCATCCTTCTTCCTGGGTCCTGCCCCCTTTCCACCCCAGCCTCATTCTCACCTGTATCCTGCTAAGATGTTCATGAACGTGGATTTGCCAGCCCCTGAGGGGCCCATGATGCCAATCAGCTCCCGGCGGCGGAATCTACCTGAGAGGCACTTGAGAAGGGTCTTATAACCTGTAGCAAGGGAGGGAGGGAGTTTTGGTCAGGGCTGCGGCAAACAGAGGCACCCCCAAAACTCTTAGGGGCAGCCGTGGCTGTCAGTGAAATAGGCAGTCCTTACTCTGTGTGCCTGGTTAGGATGGAGGAGCAACCCACAGAGCCCCAACAATGACCCATCCCTCTTATCCTGTTCCTTTAGAAACAACCACCACTAATATCAAAGTACCAGAGGTGACAATCCTTTTCTGAAGGCTGTGGGAAAACCCACACATCTTATGGATGGGTGTGGAGAGGGGATCAAGGTTATATAAGACCCTGGTCCTCTTCTTTAATCACAGTGATCACTGTCACCCCCTCCAGGAAAACCTTCCCACTCATCAGGCCCGAGCTGGCTGACTGTCCTCTGTGTCCCCACAGCACTTCTCATATTCCAGCATGTTCGTTACTCGATGTGCCTGTCACTTGCCCCGCTCCCCCAGCCTCTTAGACAGTGAGCTCCTTGGGGGCAGGGTCTGTGTCTTACTCATCTTTGTAACCTCAGCAGACTATCTGGCATGTAGTAGATGCTCAGTAAGTGTTTTATAAGTGTGTGTTCTCAGAGCTTTTGCCTCATTCTGAAAAAGCCTCCTTCTTTGTGCTCTCTCTGCCCACCAGGCTTGTCTCTACAGCCCCTAACATGGCCCAGTAAAATCTCACCTTTCATTCATTCATTGGGAGGCAGCATATGCATTTAGAGCACCGGTTTGGAGTCAGGTGGATCTGGGTTCAAATTCTGGCTCCACACTTACCAGCTGTGTGACCTCAGGCAAGTTGCTTAACCTCTCTGAGCTCCAGGTCCCTCATCTGTAAAATGAGGATGATAGTACCTATCTCATAGGGTTGTTGTAAAGATTCAATGAGATAATATATGTAAAGCATATGACACAGTGCTTGGCATATAGAATGCATTTAAAAAGTGACATTTTGTTATTAATTCCATTTGACAAATGCTTATTGATAGCACTATACACCAAGCTCTGTACCAAACACTGGACAAAAAAATGAGGAAGACACAGTTTCTGCCCTCAAGAAGGTTACAGTCTAGGTAAGATAGACAAGAAAACATCTATGATCTGAAGGAAAATAAAATAACGCTTATAACAGAAGTACAGATAATGTGCCATGAGAATGCAGAAAATGGAATCGATGAGGGTGGAAGGGCAAGGGGAAAATCAGGAGTGGCTTCATGGAAGAGGTAGCATTTGAGCTAAGCCTTGAAAGATGATCAGGATTCCAAAAGGCAGAGGGAGGGCAGGGGGCCTCCAGGCTTTGGGAGGAAAAGCTCTGCGGTACAAAAGCATCTATCTATCTATCTATCTAACACAATCCTGGAACAGCGGGCAGAGCATACATGGAGTTACCTGGTGAGACGTGGGAGTAGAGAGGAAGGCTGATGCCAATGAGGAGGGCATTGCCTGCTGTTTTTGCAGACCTGCCTTGGTAAGGGAGAGACACCAATCCCTCACCTAGCACTTTGCTTACTGCCACCCTCCGCCGACCCCCGCAGAGCCCGATTCCCTGCCCACTCTACCTCCTTAGCAGAGACAGTGAAGGAATGCCATCTTTAACCCTCCCTCCACTACACCTAGGACTGTGCTCTGGACCCAGCTGTCCCTCTGGACACTTCCTGTCAGAAGGGGGAGCAGCTCCTGCCCACAGCCAGGTCCTGATCATACCAACTGCCTGGATGGTGCTTTATGGTTTACAAAGCTTGACACCTCAGCTGCTCCTCTAACAACATGGATGAGGCAACTGGGGCCCAGGGACATCCAATGACTCACCCAGGGTCACACATAAAGTTCTTTCCTGGGGGAGGAGAAGCCATGAGCTCCAACCTTCTGCCTCAGTGCTCCCCCCACCAATCAGGAAAACGTCTGGGGCTGCCCTCCAGCTTATGTCTTTCAGAGCCACTCACAGGAAGTGATCTCTTTTGCAGGAGAAGAAACTGTCAATGACGAACCTTCCCCTCAATTAGTCTCAGCCAAGTACTTGTGCCTAACACAAATATCATCTTACGCTTGCTTTTCACAGATATTGTCCAACTGAGCTTCCCAACAAGCCTGTGTGGTGGGTATTCTCATCATCCCTGTTTACGGATGAAGGAAGCGAGGCCAGAGAGGGCAAGCAGCCTGCCCAAGGTCACAGAGCTTACAAGTGACTGGGAACCCATGACTTCCAACGTACAACTGCTTAGCACGGGAGGGGCCTGCCAGGACTTATGGCTGGAGAGACACCAGTGTTCTAGTCCTGCAACGGTCAGTAACTCTTTTGCAATTTTGTCAAGTCACTCAATCTTTAGGGCTTCCAATTCCTTATCTAGAAAAGAAAGACAGTAATATCTCCTTCTAAGGACTTAATAGGGTTATTGTGACTATTAAATGAGATCATTAATAATAATTAATAGGAAGGTGTTTTGAAAAATAAGAAACACCATATATAATTAGGGGAGGCTGATGGCAAATCCTTACCTGGGAAAACTCTCCCTCTCTCCATCCCCCTTGCTCTGTTTCCTTTCTGCCTACCCCTAATTGCTTTGCGTCCTCTAGAGAAGGGGAGAGGGATTCAATGGAAAAGAGAAGGCAGAGAGGGGAGGGTAGAGGGCAGAGAAAGAGGCAAGGGATGAAAGAGATGGCAAAATGGCCAGTAGAGCAGAATGGGGCTGGCAAGGTCACAAGGAGGGAAGGACCCAGTCAGGGGTACCAGGGGGTGAGGCTGGTAAGCTGAAGCAACCATTGAGATGGCCCATCTACCCACTTTTCTTTTTTATCTTTGTTTCTCCTTAAAGTTATGAGGAAATGAGAGGGCTAAGGAAATAACGTTTTGCCCAGAGCTGGTCTCAGGACCTAGAGAGGCTGCTTAGGGATAGGGCGCTGGGCAGGGAGCCCAGATGCCTCCGTTTCCATTGGCCCTGTGACCTTTCGGTCACTCCTGGGAGTGAGGGTGGAGACTGCAGAGATAACTCATGCTCAGCCCTGCTCTGAGGCACCCCAAATCTATTTCTTAAACCTCAGAGAACAATGTCCCAGCCCCACCCCTGGCCCACGCCCTGGCTCTGGGAAACAGCCCCAGCTTCTCTGTTGCCAGCTCAAGATGTCCAGGACAGGGCATGCAGAGGATGGTCAGGGTCCAGGCGAACCGTCCTGACAGGAGGGAAAGGGCAGGGGATGGGACTGTTGTACCAGGGAAGTTAAGAGAGAGGCAAGGATAATGTATAGGAAGCTGAGAAATCAGACGTCAGGTCCCAGCTCCGCTACCTATTAGCTGTGTGACATTAGTCAAGTCACTGAACTTCCCTAGGCCTCAGTTTCCTTATTAGTAACATGGAGATGACATGTACCCTGCCCAACCCCCACCCTCCCTGCTTTGGAGGACTGTGGTGAGAATGGAGTAAGATGATAGGAATGAGAACATCTTTAAAACTAGGTCCAAGGGTATTGTTAAGCCCTGCAGACACAGCCCCCCACTTTCTCAGACCAGCCCTGGCGGGCAGGAATCCTCCACAAAAATAAAGCGGGAAACCTCATCAAGGACCACTGAAGGACCAAAGGCCATAGGTCTCTTCAGAAGAGAAAGCTTCCATATCCAATTGAACCTAGAGTCCCACCGAGCTCACAGGTGCGGGGAGCGCAGATCCTGGCACCTCAGCTGTGTGCACAGTGAGAGAGGGGCTGGGGTCAGATGTCAGTGTTCCCACAGGGCCCTCTGGTACAGGACTCGCTGGACAGGGGACACCCCGGCCTCCTGCTCCTGGGGAGGCAACTCAGAGAGGGCCCATGGCTCCCTACCCCTTTTGCGCCAGCAGGGCCCCTCCCGCACAGAATAGGACAGCTCCACAAACTCGATGTCCACGGCTGAGCGCTTAGGTAGGTGGGAGAAGCGCTGGGCTTCCGTGATGTGGTTTTCCACCTTCTTCAGGTGCGTGGTCAGCACAGGGGGCTCCGCCCCGTCCTCCAGCACCACGGCCATGGCCACGGCCCCCGGCCCTAGTCCACAGCCCACGGCCTCCAGCGCCTTCTCCGCCATCACGCCGCCCGCCTGCAGGGAGAAGGCCTGCTTAGTTCGGGGCAGACCCCCAAGTCTCCGCGCAAAGCTCCGTTGTGTTCTGATGCTGCCCCCACCCCACTCCCCGCCTCCTTCTTAGGGCAGATCCGAGACTGTTAGCGCCCCACTCGCCGGCCACGGCTTGGGCATCCGCCCCCCACCCCGAAACACGGCGATGCTCAGTCCCGACCTCTGGTCGGTCCCAGGCAGCGCGAGCCCCAGCCGGGCCCCAGCCGGGTCCCTGGAAGCCCTCACCCATTTCTTCCTTCCTGAGGCGCCTCTAATCTCCTTACCCCGCAGGCCAGCAGCCCCTGGGGACTGGAGGGATGGGGGGCAGGGGAGAAGAGGCTGCCAGCTAGGAGGTCAGGTTGACAGGGTGAGCGCAGGGTGGGCCGGGGAAGGCTCTGGGCCTCCAGCTGCGTCCCCCTCCCCACCTCTGGGTTTCACGCCCAGGCCGGCCCCTCCCGCCCGCGCCCCTGGGCCCGCGCGCCCCAGGCGCTCCCGAAGACAGGCGCACCGCCCAGACTCAAAGCCCCTACGGCCAGCTAAGACCCCGTCTCCCGCATGTCTAGTCACCTTGACGCGCCCCTGGGCCGGTGCGGGGCCCGGATGCTTAGCTTAGCGGGGCCACGGGCCGGGGATGGAGAGTAAGGGCTCTCCTTACCTGCCTCGGGCTGCGGCACCCGCGTCCCGGCTCCCGGTCCCGGTGGCCCGGGCCGGGGCGGGGCCAGGACAGGACGCGAGACAGGAGAGGCGAGCCTCCTGTCACAGGAGATGACAAGGTTGGGGAGGGGCAGTTGAGGTCGCGCCTCGACTCCTCTTGGCCGGGCACACCCGGTTCCCTGAGCCGTCCCCGGCGAGGTGTCCTCCGAGCCCGCCGGGCGACTGCGCTCTTCTCCAAGCTAGTCGGTCCCGCTGCTCTTAAAGGGCCCGCGCCGCCCCATAGCCCGCGGGAGATAAGGATGGAGAAGAAAAGAGCGGCGTCCGTGGGGCGGGGGCCTGAGGGCGTGTAGTTGTGGACCCAGGACTGGGGGTTGGCGAGGACCCGCTGACTTGGCTGCACCGAAGAAAGGAGAGCTGGAGTCACTCAGTGGGGACAGGCCCCTGGAAGACAGACAAGACAATGGTGTGTGTGTGGGGGTGGGGGGTAGTGGGGCTCAGATTCCATCACTCTCAAGGGATCGTGAAGCTGTCATTCTGCCTGAACACACATACCCACCAATTTCCCTCGGTTCTACCCCCTGAGTTCAGGCCTCCTACCACAAATTTCCAAACTAGGTACAAAGGCTTTCAAAAAAGCAAGAGTCTTGGGACATAAGAACATCCTCCCCTCTCCGCATTCACACTTGCCCTCTCTAAGAGTGAGGGCATTATTTAAGGAGGAACAAGGGGCATGAGTTAAGAAGGGACAGAGGGTAGCAGCTTTGGGAGAGCTTGCAGGCAGCTCCAAGGTTAAAGTGGCAGCTTCGACTGTGGAAATCTTTATTCACCCAGCCAGATTCGGGCCTTCGAGACAGGCACACGCGTGATCCTGGAGGCACCTGTGTGCCAGGGCAAGCACAGACACTGCCTTTGACATCTCATACACCTGTGCATTCTCTCCCTTGCCCCACAAACCTTCAAACGTAGATTCCCAAGAGCACGTTTGGGGCTTTCCTCTGCTCTGACCCTTTCTCAGGCAATCCCTCTTGGTCCCTACCCACCCCAGCCGCTGTGTCTTCAAGGGGTAAGTAGGTTAGCTAGCCAAGAGCTAGCCTGAGCTTTTAAGTTCCCACCTGTCACATGGCAGAGATGGATGGGAGGGGAGGCTGCTGAGGCTGCTGAGGCTGCTGGTGCAGCTGCCACCCCAAGGCTTCTTCTTACTGCTGCAGCTGAAAGGTTACTAGCAGTCAAACCTCTCCCCCGCTTCCTCCCCCCTCGCCTGCCTCTCCACAGCCCTGTAAGCTGGCGGCCCCTGGAGGACATCTCCAGGCCCCATCCTGTAACTGTGAGTTTTATGTGGGTTTTCGATCCAGCCTTTCCCTCCACCCCATGCCCCACATCACCACAATTCCTCAGGACCAACCATCCCATTCTCCAGAAGGATCCTCCATTCTCCAAGTTAACCTCCAAGGCGCTACTGCGGACTTTCCCATCCTCCAACAGTTGCATTTATTGAGCAACTACTGTATACCAGGCATTATCTCATTTAATCCTCAGAATGTCCCTATGAGGCAGGTTTTACAACCCCCGTAGAGATCAAGAAACTGAGGCACAGGGAGGTTAAGTAATATGCCCAAGCAGCATGTCTAATTAGTAGCAGAGCAGGTATTGAACCCCAAAGGCCCTGCTTTTACCCATCCTGCTAACTGAACCTCTCAGAACCTTACTCTCAAATGGACTATCTCCCTCTATTTTCTAGACAGGTTCTTCATCTTCCTGAGTTAATCTCCATCTCTTAACACCACCCCACTCCATTCCTTGACACACAATTTTCCAATTCCCAGGTAAGTTTCCTCCCTTTCTTGAACACACCACCGCTCATTCCCCATCTTCTGAGCCCAACATTTCCAAGTCATCTATCAGCTTTCCATCCCGTGGGATTCCTACCCCATGCCCCCATGCAGTGGTCCTCACCCTTATCTGAGAGGCTCTCAAGTTAGCCTCTGTCCAGGGGCTATCAAAGGATGTTCAGGTGCCACTCCAGACCAATTCATTCTGGATATCCAGGGGCAGGACCCAGGCATTAGTATTTTTAGAAGCTCCACAAATAATCCCACTGGGCAGACAAAGTTGAGAGCCACTCTCCTAGATGAACCTTCCATTCCCCGGGTTAGAACCTCCGCCCTGCACCCATTCCCCATCAAAGGCTCTTCCCTTCCCTGCAACAGGTTCCTCCATTCTCTAGAACACCCTCTCTCCATTTTGTGAGCAAATCTTCCATGTCCTGATTGGAATCAGATCTGCATTCTAACCTTGGCACTATCTTATTAGTTCTGTACTCTTAAGCAAATTTCTCCACTTCTCTGAGCCTTATCTGTGTAACAAGGATGACAAAAAATGTCATATATCTGCCTCCAAAGGTTCTTACGAGTTTCAAGTATCCACGTACTTAGTAATAGATGATTATTTGTTATTCTCAAGAATAGACCATACATTGTTACACTTCAGGTAACACCGTGGTTCAGGCTCATTTCCTTCCCCCAGAAAATCTCCCATTTCCTTGGCAAAGGAGGGGAAACTATTTATAGAATGCCTACTATGTGCTGGACACCGAACCTAGAGATGTGATTGATCTCTGAGTAAAGGACTAGGTCTATTTCATCCCTACATTCCTAGAATTTGTACACAGAAAGTGCACTCAATAAATATCCATTGACTGAACAGTTGTCTTCGTAACAACTTAATGAGGTCAGCATTATCTTCCCATGTTTCAGATAAGGAAACTGAGGCTCAGAAAAGTTAAATACAAATATGAAGTCACACAGCTAGTATGATGGATCCAGGGATTCAAATCCGGCTCTTAGTGATTCTAAACTATGGTTTTATCTACTATAACAAACTTCTTCATTCTTTTAATATTGTCACCTGCCCATTTTATAAAGCAGATCCATCTCCATCCCCTGAATGGACCTTTCTCATTCTAAGATAAAGAACCTTTCCAACCTTCCAGAGGTCCACTGGGACAGACCCTCTCCATTCTGGAGAGACTCCCACTCCCACCACATATTCCCCCCAGATGGACCTTTGATTCCTGAGAACACACACTTCTAACTCCTAGAATAGACCTCATAACTCAAGAGCAGTGGTTCTCAAACTTTAGCTCACATTCGAATCATCTGGAGAGCTTATTAAAACACAGATTGCTGGGCTCCACTCCCAGAGTTTCTGATTCAGTATCTGGGGTGGAGCCAAGGAATTTACATTTCTGTAATACTAATAAGTTCCCAAGTGATGCTGATGCTGCTAGTCCAGGGGCCACTTTGAGAAGCATTGCTCGAAAGAACCTTCTTTCCTTCATCTCGACCTCACTTTCCTCAGAACAAACTCCCTGTTTCCCACTACACACTTTCCCTCAATGCCCAGATAGACCTCCTCCCATTCATTGAGGTTGAGCATCCCCTTTGTCTAGGATCCTCCCAACTCCCACCTCAGACTCCCTCACCCCTACTACCGAGACACAGCCTCCATCCAGGGCAGGTTCCTTGGACCCAGACATGTAAGTGTTGATGATAATTGGTTTAAGAGGAGCAAGGCAGAAGCAGAAAATTCCTATCTCAGCTTAGTACCAGGAGCTAATCTAACCGACACAGGCTGCTCTGGGCAGGGATTTATGGGACAAGCAGTTGCTAAGCAGCTTTGTGGGCCTATGAAAAAAGGAGGGTTAGCAGGGTCCATGGGAGCTGAAAAGGAATTGGACTGGGACTTTGGAACTGACCCAGTTCTGCTTCCACTGTTCCAGGTCCCTTGTCCACCATACCTCCCTTGCCCACCATGACAGTCTCTCATTTCTGGATAGAATGACTTTGAAATGTGTTTGCCAATGAAAGGACCCTCTGCTGGCCACTTGGGGAGATGCAGCCCAGGACCAGGAAGGAGGGGTGGATAAAGAGGAGACCGATGGAGCCCTCTCCACCCAGCCTCCTTCATGGTTCCTGCTGGTATATGGCAGCAAAGCCCACCATCCCTCCTGTGGCTCCTGAAGGCAGGCAGTGAAGATGGGCATAGGCACCAGAGTGGGACTATGGAGGGTACCTACCAATTCCTTTCCTGATCTCTCAGAGACTAGGCAGAGTTCCTGCTGTTGCTTTAAAAAAAAAAATCTTTATTGTTTTAAAGTTATAAGAATATAACAAAATAAAACAAAATAATAAAAATATAAAACAGAAGCAATTTTGAAATGTATTTTAAAAGTGCAATATTTATCTATCCCTCTCTCTGCTGCTGTGTAGTGCCATTTCCTTTGATAAGAAGAAAGTGAGGGGTTCTCCAAAGCTGCAGAATGCCGGGGTTCTCTGCCCAAGTTTCTCTCTTTTTTTTTTTCCTTACCTTAGAATGTGAACTCCGACCATACCCTTTGGCTGTATCTTTTGGGTGGAACCAGCTTCAGACATGTGTCTGCCCAGCTTTTTTCTGGGGCCATTTCCCCTCCCCCTAATACAGGGCTGAGAATATATAGCAATAAACTCAGTTTCTCCTACTACACTTTCACAACACACTTCTGACACCAGATGTGTGGGGTTTTGTCCCACACATCAAGCAAACAATCAATTCTGTGATGGATACCAACTGGGTGTCCTCTAATTCAATTCAATTCCCACACTACCTACTTGGAGATAGCGTCTGATCCCACAGGTTGAGGGCTCAGTCCCACAAGACTGCCTCTACTTCCAATGCCAATCTCAAACTCCAGCTTGTTTTATCTGTGTTTCTGACTGACCAGTTACAAATTGGGGTTCCCAGGACCCCCTTCATTGGGTTTGATTAATTTGCTAGAGTGGCTCACAGAACTCAGGGAAACACTTTATTTACATTTACCAGTTTATTATAAAGGATATTATAAAGAATACAGATAAAGAGATGCATAGGGCAAGGAACGTGGGAAGGGGCACAGAGCTTCCATGCCCTCTTCAGGCACCCTCAAGGAACCTCCATGTGTTCAGTTATTCAGAAGCTCTCTGAACTCTGTCCTTTTGGGTTTTTATGAAAGCTTCATTGGTTAAATCATTGGCTATTGGTGATAACCTTAACCTTAAGCCCCTCTCCCCTCCCTGGAAGTTGGGGAGGGCAGGGGTTGCTGACAGTCCCAACCCTCTAAGCCTGTCTTGGTCTTTCCAGTGACAAGCCCCTATCCTGAAGCTACTTAGTGGCTGCCAGCCCTCAGTCAACTCATCAGCACACAGAAAGACACTATCACTTCGAAGACAGACTATTTTCTATATAGTCACCCTAGCACAGTAGGGTGACTATAGTAAACAATAATTTATTGTATATTTCAAAATAGCTAGAAGAGGATTTGGAATGTCCCCAACACAAGGAAATGATAAATGTTTGAGGTGATGGATATCCTAATTGTCCTGAGTTGCTCATTACACACTGTACCCATGTGGCAAAATATCACAGGTACCCCATAAATATGTACATTATGTATCAATTTTAAAAATCCCTTTTCTGACCACAACCTTCCCTTTCTGGAAGCTAATCTTCAGAAAGCCTCACTGGAACCTCCACAGTGCTCTAACTACTGTACTACCTTCCGGGTGTCCAGGCCCTCCTTGTCCGGTCCGGACCTCATGCTCCCTCTCCAGATGCTCTAATTGCCTTGCTCCTTGGCCCTGTGCAATCCACATCCTGGCTGTCGGGCCATCATTGTGGTTCCACACAGTGGCTCTGTTTTCTGCTTTTGTTCCAGGGTTGCTCATATCTGCTACGTAAAAATTGTATGGTTGTATTGACGTTGCCACTGCCTGATCTTGGTCTTCAACCTTGGCTGGGTCATAAGGTGATCTATTTCACTCCTGCATCTGTTAATAGCATCTCTAAAATTTGACAATTCTTATAAATCTCCTTAATCCAACAGATTATCCTTCAATAACTTTAATCCCTACTTTATCAAGAAAATAGAAACCACCAGGCATGAAATCCCCCTCACACTTCCTATGAACTAAATCCACATCAACTCTCCTCTACTCAAAGGAAGGGGTATCTCCATTCTTTTCCAAGTTTTATTTATCTACTCGTCCTCTATATTCTTTCCCACCCAAAATCTAGGGGTCTTACTCTATCAGATGTCCCCTTTCCTTTATTTTTGAAATCTCTGTCTTTGGTTTCTTCCCCTTGGCCTACAAATATACTCTGGTCTTGTCCCTTTAGGAAATTAACCTTAAGTTCCATGCATGAGGGCAGGGACATCCCCATTCCTTTCCAAGTTTCATCTACTTACTTGTCCTCCATATTCCTTCCCCAGCCAGGAATCCAAGCTATTTAGTACAATATGAAAAAGTTTTCACCATCTTCTCCACCATTCCCTCCCAGCCTTAACTACATGTGCACATGAAGTGGGTATGTTCCTCAGCTGATTCCTGGTCTTGAGCAAAATTCATTTAACAGTCATTGAGTGCCCATATTCATTAGGTCATAATTTAACAGAAATGAAAGATTTTATTCCTCATGACCATTCATTTCTCCCTCATATTGGAAAATCAAAAATCATATTTTGTTTTTTGTTTTCCTTTTTAGTTGATACATTCCTTTTTTTTTTAGAAACAAGGTCTTGCTCTGTCACCCAGGCTGGAATGCAGTGGCATGATCAAAGCTCACTGCAGCTTCAAACTCCTGGGCTCAAGCAATCCTCCTGCCTCAGCTTCCCAAGTAGCTAAGACTACATTGGTTAATTTTTTAAATTTTTTTAGAGATGAGGTCTCACTGTGTCGCTCAGGCTGGTCTCAAACTTCTGGCCTCAATCCTCCTGCCTTGGCCTCCCAAAGTGCTGGGATTACAGGTGAGAGCCATTACACCTGGACTGATTTCTTTTATATCCACTCAATTCTTCTGTGTCCTTCTCTGAGGTTGTGAGCTTGCCCCAAGTAAGAGAAAAGAAGTATCAGCTTCCAACTCTTGGGCTACCTGCCTTCTCCCCTAACCCCACCTCCTTTAAGGAAGAATAAGACAGGGTGTCACCTTAATCTCCAGATGCCATGGTGCTGGGACCAGGGCTTTTTTTTTTTTTTTTTTTT